TACCTCTCCAGTTAAATTCTTTCCTGCTTTAGGAGTGGACACACACAACAGCCTCCAAGCTGCCCTGATAAATTTCACGTGTATAATATGGAAGACAAATATTTCCTTAAGTTAAGATATGTATTTTCTGTCCATGAAGTTTTTTTATTGACTTTTCATCCCAAGATTATCACCTTTCTTTTTATTGTGCTTTATTTCTTGTTTTTGTTCTCTGTAAAACATAATGTGTGACATAAGTAACGAAGCATAATTTTCAAAAGCTACTTGCAGTAGTCAGTATTGTTTCTTTGGTTTTTATACCATGTATTTTTGTTGGGACTCAAAGGACAGTGATGCATATTTGATCAAATTAGGAAATTAAGTTGAAACATTTTGATTCCTAAAAAGTGTATTTTATAAAACATTTATTGATGAATGAATTTTATGGTATTTTGTTCTCTCTGTAGATAAACGTGTGGAAAATTGGCCTCTGATGCAGTCTCCTTGGCCTACCCTAAGTATAAGCACTCTCTATCTCCTGTTTGTGTGGCTGGGTCCAAAATGGATGAAGGACCGAGAACCTTTTCAGATGCGTTTAGTGCTCATTATCTATAATTTTGGGATGGTTTTGCTTAACCTTTTTATCTTCAGAGAGGTATGTTTTTAAGATCACTGTAATTTCCAAGGTTATTGGAAATTTAAAAATGAGAATGTATAAAACTATCATTGTAATATTGTACCCAGACACAAGTGTTGGCTACTGTAAAAGTACATTTTTGACATTTTTCACTTTTGAATAACAAAAATTTTAACATATAGGACAGTTGTTTAAATGGGAGTTTTGAATAAGACAAACTAGATTCTAAAATAACCCTTGTTAGCTGTGCTGACATTGAAAGTTATTTAACTTTTCTTAGCCTCGTTTTCCTCACTTTAATACCTACCATCTGTGGTTATTATCAGAGTTAAGAGAGATAATTTTTGCATAGTGTTTGGCACATATTAAGCACTCAGTAAACAGTTGCAGCTATTTATTTATAATTCTTTTTCAGTTGTTTCTAGTTTGGTAACTGATCAAAATATGCCGATTTCAAGTAAATCCTATTATGTAATGTTCTATTTGTCGCTGAAATTAAAATGAGTTAACTGCCATATAACTGTTGTTGCTAATCATTATATACTTTTCTGGGCACTAGCAAATTTTCCATGACATTTTCAAAGGAAATCCTAAAGGCTAGATTGACACAGCCATTTTTTAAATTGTATAAGGAATTTGTTTCCTAAGAGACTCATTAAAATTCTGTATGATTCCAGAGAACTGACTAGTAATGCTAGGAAAATGAACAATAACTCTTCTTAAAAAAAGAAATATTTCTTTAATTGAGAACTTAGCCTAGAGTCTCAACTTTATAAACACTTTAATTTATTTGGATGTTCATACCTAATTTGTTACACACAAACCACTCTGGATCAAACATAGAAACCTAGTTAAGGTAGGACAACTTTAAAATCTGAGTCCTAGCAATAAAAATATCTCTTAATGTTGTGAAGTATTTGATAGAGTTGATACTCAGTCTAAAAGTTACATGTGATTTTTAATTTAGATTTTAATTATAAACAAATTAATGCACAGTAACCTCTAGCAATTACAATGTGTTAAATTTTCAATGCATTTGAAATTTTTAAAGAAAATGCTCCTTTTAAAATAATTTGAAAGGTTACATTTTGTATTAATTGTGTTTTTAATGCTGTATCTACTAAAACTTTACTACAAATATTATTACTTTTTCAGTTATTCATGGGATCATATAATGCGGGATATAGCTATATTTGCCAGAGTGTGGATTATTCTGATAATGTTAATGAAGTCAGGGTAAGTACATTAGAAATACTTTTAATCAGTAAAAGTGGTTTGATTTTATAGGCTCCAGTCTGTGAAAATGTAGAATGTACTTTTTGGTTTTTTTTAGAGACAGGTTCTTTAACATTCAGTTAAAAATACTTTTAATCAGTAAAAGTGGTTTGATTTTATAGGCTCCAGTCTGTGAAAATGTAGAATGTACTTTTTGGTTTTTTTTAGAGACAGGTTCTTTAACATTCAGTTAGAGACAGCTTCTTGTTCTGTCACCCAGACTGAAGTGTAGTGGTATGTATGATCATAGCCCACTACAGCCTCCAGCTTCTGGTCTCAAGTGATCCTCTTGCCTCAGCCTCCCAAGTAGCTGGGACGATGGGTATGTACCACCACGCCTAGCTACTTTTTAATTTTTTGTAGAGACTGGATCTTGCTGTGTTGCTCAGGCTGGTCTTGAACTCCTAGCTGCAAGGGATCCTCTTGCCTTAACCTCCCAAAGTGCTGGGATTATGGGTGCGAGCCACCACACCTGGCAAAGTGTACTTTAATGTGATAGTGAAATTATACTAGATTGTTATGAGTCAATAAAGCTATGCTTTTTTTTAAGTACTTAATTTTGCAGCATGAGCAAATATGCATTGGATTACTAGAATGCAGTACTTGTGAAAGCAAGGAAGTTTCATGTTTCTTTTAGATATTATTTTAGATTTTTTTGTTTGTTTTTGGTCAAGAATAGAAACTGAGTCCAAGTTATTTGTTAAGAAAGTGAGGAAAAGTAAATGTTTTGTGAAGTGTGGAATGTTTAGGAAATTAAGCATAGAACAATTTGTATAGGCATAAATTGAGTTTCTTATTATATTTGCAGAAAAATAAACCACTAGTAAGATGTTACCATATTTTATTTTCCAGTCACTTATATGAGTAAAATTAACATTAATTCAATCAAAAGAAACAACAGATTACCTTATTCTATTATTTATTGAACTCATATACTGTGGTTCATACTAAAAATTACATATAAAACATATGTTTTATGTTACCTAAAGTGTATGGTAGTAATAAGATCTAGTAGCTTCCCTTGAGAAAAGTAGTTTCCTGGCATGGGGGATTTTTGTATTCACTGTTGTGTAGCTAAGACGTATTACTTTTGTTATAGTCTATTTAAAGATATCTAATGCAGTTTGCAAACTAAGGAGACTTACTGTTTATTATTATTTTATGTGAATTGTGGCAAATGTAGAGGTCCAGATGGAAGCAAAATAAGACATTATCACTTTCCTTCTAAAGTTACTATGCCAAAATGGTGATACTTACCTTATTTTAAAGAACTAGTATAATAATGAATATTAAGTATAGTGTTGCTGGGAGTAGTTAACTATTTTAAGGCTATTTTCCACCAATTTGTATCATTTATAATGATATTTTTCGAGTAAATCCAGTAAATAATTCTCAGTTTGTAAATACTTTATTTCTTACATGCGTTCCCTTTCTTCTTTCCCCAAACTTTAAAATTACAATTTTGTTTTTCAAATGTAAAAGACAAAACAAAAAACTCATGACATATACCGGTGCAGGTATAAAATGCAAAGGGATCCTTCAACTCTAAAACACCTAAGCCTGTCTGTGAATAAATCTGATAGGGTCCTAACACACAAAGGATTATAAATCGATTTTCATATGTACTGCCTTGTTATTTGTACTAGGAAGCTAATCATAGAAAATACTTGACATAAAAAATTAAGTTTTGGTTATTGTTATGGTAGGATTCTTGTAAAACATTTTAAAACATACAGAGGTCACCTCTCACTGGATCCTTAATCTCAGCATGTAATGTAATCTTTCTGCACCATCTGGTGCCTTAATTAGAGCCCAGGAAAAGAAAAGACTTATTCATGTAAGCAGGATTATATTTATGACCTGGGAAATATTTGTTTGTTCATTCCAATTTATTATTTTAAAGATTTTAATACCTAATGCAAACTGCTGTGATTGGATATTTATGTTTTTGCACATGTTGGTGTAGGGAGAGGGGAGGGTAGCGGGGAGAGAGAGTGGGCAGACAGGCAGACACTGGAAGAGACCAGTTGCTACATGAACTTACTTGCATGTTTCTCTGAGCTATAATATAGGCTAAGCATGAACAACTAAAATCACTTTACAAAGTAAACATCTCAGTTCCTCTACCAAATTGAAAAAGATAGCAATCTGAATGTGCTTCCAGCTCTGTATTTAGCAGTTTGACACTGTGTGACATCTACCTATGTAAAAGACTGAAAATATTCTCTAAATTATTGGCACTGTATAAATAAATGACATTTTGGACTCTCTTTCCTATTTTTTCCCTATGCAGAGATGCTTAGGTTTTCCAAACCTTGTTAGCCATAAATGATTCCATGCCTTGTTCTTTGTGTAATATGCAAATGTTTATTTTGGACTTATTTACAATGAGTAGAAACCCATACAATAGTGTCATTTTGGTGTTCATTACATGATTTCCATTTTTACAGATAGCTGCTGCTCTGTGGTGGTACTTTGTATCTAAAGGAGTTGAGTATTTGGATACAGTGTTTTTTATTCTGAGAAAGAAAAACAACCAAGTTTCTTTCCTTCATGTGTATCATCACTGTACGATGTTTACCTTGTGGTGGATTGGAATTAAATGGGTTGCAGGGGGACAAGGTGAGCATTTTCAGAAATACACTACTTATGTTTAATTGTATATATGTGTTCAGTGGAAAGCACCGAGAACCTAGGACTTTTACTTGATATACCATTTGACTTGCTTTCATGGTTAATCATTTCCATGTACATTTCATTTTTTAAAAATTTGAGGAAAGTAAAACTTTTGTGTTTTATCTGTGACTACTTAATACCTAAAGATTTGCCCCAGAGATGAGCATAAACTAAGACTAAATGTAGAAAATAATATTTTGAGGGGGAACGGGTCTAGTAGTTCTGATCCAAAGAATAACAAGACACAACCCCTCAAATCTGAAGATTTTCATCTTAGTGCATAGCTCACTCTTGTTCTAATATAGCTTGAACATCCCTAATCTAAAAATCTGAAATCCAAATGCTCCAAAATCCAAAACTTTGTGAGCATGATTATGACACCACAAGTGAAAAATTACATACCTGACCTCAAGTTATGGGTCACAGTCAAAACTCAAGTGCACAACACAGTTTATTCAGTATCCCTAAAGGAAAAAAGACCCTCTTAGCTCCCTTTTTCATGTACAGCCTAATGTTCATGCCAAACAACCACAAATAATGTCTACATGTGTGGCTAAGTTAGTGACATCTTCACTTTCTGATGTTTCAGAGTACACAAACTTTGTTTCATGCACAAAGTTATCTTAAAATTATATAAAATTATCTTTAGGATACATGTATAAAGAGTATATATATAAAAAAATAAAGAGTATATAAAGTTTCAGATTTAGACTTGAGTCCTATCCCCAAGACACCGCATTATGTCTATGCAAAATTCCAAAATTTTTGAAAAAATCTAAAATCAGAAACGCATCTGGTCCTGAGCATTTTGGATAAGGGATACTCATCCTGTATAGGTCTTGTTGGTTCTTACTTAAAGGAAATTTTATACATTCTTGTTCATGTTAAAGAGGATCTGAATTCATAGTTTGGCCAAGATCTGCCTCTGATCTTTTCAGATGCCTGTAGATTAAGGATGGTTGACATTGTTGAGCTTGATGCAGATGATTCCTCTGAGGAGGATCCAGAGTACAAGTCATTATAGTATAGCTCACCTTGCTGGTTTCCATTGTCATATTATGGTAACTATTTAGAAACCTAAGAAATAAGTACTGTTTCATTGTAGATATTGGCACATATGAAGGCAATAATGGAACATTTACAAATCTACTTTAAGACTTGTATGTATTACAGCTTTTTCCCCCAAGAATAGTAGAATTAAAAGTAACACAGGCAAGAGTTCTACGTTTGGGCCTATTTAAGCTCACTGGAATGCCCCATTTGAAAACTTACCACTTTGAAAGTCCTTTGCATTTGAACACACATTTTTATTTATATGGTAAAGCCTGAAATCTAAACCTTAAAAAGACCTAGCTTAATCTGAAGGGAAAACCTTTTCATTAGTACTAATTTATATCTTTTATTCCTAATCTGTACTCAAGATTAAATAATGTGGATTCATTTATTGTGTAGGTCAGTGGCTAATAAAATTTTCTGTATCTTGTAATTCCCTGTTGTTTCTCTGAAGCATTTTTTGGAGCACAGATGAATTCCTTTATCCATGTGATTATGTACTCATACTATGGTTTAACTGCATTTGGCCCATGGATTCAGAAATATCTTTGGTGGAAACGATACCTGACCATGTTGCAGCTGGTGAGTTAAATGCTTCCAAAGTTTCTTCTGGTAAAATACTGAAAACATTTAAATTTGATTAATTTTAAAGTGTTAAGTCATTTTAGACAATATTCTATTATGAAATTAACTTAATCCTGTAGCTATATTGCAGATAAGGCCACTTGACTCCAGCCGACCTATTCATAGCCATATTGGTCACAAGTCTTTGCTTTTATAATATACTTAAAAGACTAGACATAGCATTTACTCCTCTAAGGGAAACATTCTCTAAACATATTTGTGGAAAGGATGATTAAAGATCCAAGCACACTACGAAGTATGTAGATTTATGTATAACTAGAAAAATAATATGTATTTATTTCCTCAGGTGATTTTTTTTAACTTAAAATTTTATTACCTGTCTTCATCTCATCCTTGCTTAAAAATTTTATTTTTTATTTCATCTTTCAGTCTTTAACGTATCTTATATATTCCGAATATACAGTTGAAAAGAAACCACATAGCTGAGGAAGGGGTGGGGCAACGGAAGGGAATAAGGACAAGAGAACACCTTTTAATTCTCTAAAACACTGTCCTTAAGAGAGAAGAGACAGATACTTTCCAATGGTGGTCTTTAGTCGAGACAGTTCAACACATCCCCCTAGTAAGACTGCTTGTGGCAATCTGAGTGTGTGCATTAGTGTAACTTTCAGATGCTAGGCACTAGCCTGTAATCAAACTGGAAATTCAAAGCCAACCTGGTAGCTATTTTTCAAGCTTTAGAATTTATTATAATTTGCTTTAATCGTAGCATGTGCACAGTTTTATCAGTGGAATCACATTTGGAAACATTATTCATCTCTGCTTTAAGTTGCTAAACAGCTGGCTAACCAAACAGGAAGCACAACTTTTGGGAAATGATGGGTGTGAAGGATTCATTTGTAGCCAAAGTGGTATAGGAAGCTTCCTCCAGTTTTTGTGTAAAAGCTATTAATACAGTTTGTGTAATTCATTTATCTCAGTAAGTAGTAAAATGACCCAAGAAAAAGAAGAGGTGATCAAAATCATGTGAATTAGTCCTGGTTTGTTGGAGCCTATACCTGGCTCTCCTTGAGTGATGCCATACCCAATCACACCCTTATACACACCCTTTTTGGTGATGCAGCTTCTAAAAACCATTGTGAAACCAAAAGTTCTTCAGATTTGAATATCTGCCAAGGAAAATTATAAAAGTTATTTAATATGGTATAAATTTTTAGCTTACATGGCATTCATTATTTTTATAATATTTAAAATAATTAATAGTGATTATTTTAATCAATAATTAACATTTTAAGAACAATGCTATCCTTAAAAGAGAAACCACAATTGTCCATTTCAAACAGGATGTTGAGTTTGTATTTCCAAGCCAGAAGTCCTCAAAACAGTTAGTCATGTAAGTTAATTGTATAAAAAGTTAACCCTTGTTAACATCCATAGAATTCATTATTCTCATGTCTTGCCCATTCATTTATTGAAATATCAGAATTTATTTTATTTTAAGCATCTCACTTTTGGCTTTTTTCTAAAAATTCTTAAAGTTGAAAGTGATTCTTTTTGTATTTATTCTGAAATATCTACTAAATATTATCAAAATATTAGTTTTTAAAGGATAGTGTTCAAAGAAAAATTTACCTGCCTACTATCTGTAAGACATAAATGAGCCATTTTTATAAGCAGATTTAAAAAAGTATATGTATCTGCTTGCTTACAATTTGATAGAAAGAAACCAATCTCAAATGTGGGAGGAAAATAAAATGAAAGCACCTACAATACTCTTACTTTACTCTTCTAGGCCATTGATTCCCTTCCATCAGATAACATTATTCAACACATATTCATTGATCCTGACATGGTGCTGAGGACTCAAGAATTACCAATAGGCAAGACAGAGTCCTGCCTTCTGGAGTTATATTCTAGTGGAAAGATAGGCAATAAAGAAGTAACAAATACAAAAGACAATTTCAAATAGTTATAATTCTCCTTTTAAAAAATGCAAAAAGTCTTTGGTTAATGGGATTGAGAGGGCCAGTTGAAATCTTGTCAGAAAGCCCTTACTGAGAAGAGGGCATTTGAGCTGTGAATGAGAAGTAGCTGGCCATGGGAGCCAGAAAACAATAAATTTTGCAGAGTGTGGCAAAATTTGGGCCTGTGATAGCTATGTAGAAGACGCTGATGTTGTTAAAAGTTGTTTACTATTCAGATTAAATTATTATGTTTTTTGTTTTTCAGGTTCAATTCCATGTGACCATTGGGCACACAGCATTGTCTCTTTACACTGACTGCCCCTTCCCCAAATGGATGCACTGGGCTCTAATTGCCTATGCAATCAGCTTCATATTTCTCTTTCTTAACTTCTACGTTCGGACATACAAAGAGCCTAGGAAATCAAAAACTGGAAAAACAGCCATGAATGGTATTTCAGCAAATGGTGTGAGCAAATCAGAAAAACAACTAGTGATACAAAATGGAAAAAACCAGAAAAATGGAAAAGCAAAAGGAGAGTAAATTGAACTGGGCCTTAACTGTTGTTGACAGTGAGGAAAAACTCCCATATCATATAAAATTTCAGGGAAAACAGAAGCAAAGGAGAGTTGGGGGTGGGGAGAAAAGACAAATGTGCTCTATGTACTAGTAACTCTTAGACTGAGTAAAGTGTTAATACCATATCCAGATGTTTTATTTATGAATTTTTTAACTTTTTTTTTTTTTAATTAGCCTTGATGTTCTCCAGACCAAAGCAATCATTATGTGACTTTGGAGATTCTCCCCCTGTTGGCATCCAGTTGTCTAAAGGGTGAGATATTTCATGTATGTTACAGTCACTCATTCTTCGGTCTGAATTTTAGATGATCACAGAAACAATCTTTATGAATTTTTTTTGATAAATTGCTAATTATCTTGTCTACTGACTGAAATCAGTTGTGTTACATTTTCTTGTCCAAAACTTGAAATGAAATGTGGATACATTTAAACTTGCGCATTTGAATTCATTTGCTGACCAGAATGGTCAAATCTCTCCACCTCTAGTCAGAGTATACTCTGGTTGTAATTAAATTTTTTAAATCTGCTGATCTCTGTAGAATCTTAGAGGCTTGATGATAATGGTGTTGGTGAAAATAAGAAAGAATTGCAGTAAAATCTTATCTGGTGACTCGGAGATCACCACGACTCAAGGCACAAATCGCTGTGGGGAAACAATTTGTTTTTTTTTTTTTTGATGAAAAGGCAGCATTTGAATACTACCGTTACTAGCAGAAATATATTACGAAATTTAAGATTATTGTTGGATTGAAACATGAAACAACTCATGTCTTTATTAGTAACATCATAAGATAGTTACATTTATGTGCTGTTAGAATATGTTGATTTTTATCAGGCTTTCCTTGTTTTGATTTGTGGCTGTTACTGATTTTTCATATATGGAAAAATACCTACCTCTTCTGTTGGAAAGAACATTTAAAATTAAATAAATTTTAATTAAAAAATCAAGGAGTCTTCTAATGTAAATTTTAATATTAACTTTCAAATCCACTAGTATTTTTTTGCTTTTATGACAAATAGCATACATCAAACATTTCTGTGAAACTATCCTTCTCTTTCAGTGTGTTTAATTTTGGAGTAACGTTTTCCTTGTGACTAAGTTGCAAGATCTTATTTATTAACTAGGTATGAAGTATAAACCCATTTTGGTGCAATATTCTTGACTCCTTGGTGCTAAAGATTGTTAAATTCAATGCTCGATGTTACAAAGTGTTGTTAAAACACAACATGAATAAAAGTGAGAGTAGTCAGAACTATAAAAATAAAATTGCTATTTACAAATGAAGTGTTTCATGTAATATAAGTGAACAACTGGAAATAAAGTAGGAAAGAATTTGTACCATATTTTACTACATAGGTTAATTTGTTAAGGGATGTTGCAAAGGGATTACTATAAGAAGACAAAATGTGACCAAAAAAAAAAAGCATGAATATTTCTAAGTATCTCAACAACATGTCAAAGCTGCATGTGTAGGATGTATGCTGTTTGTACAGACTACTTCAGAATATTTTGTAAACTATAACATACTTATTGTGCATTAAAAATGAATACTTTTCCCCCAAAGGCATGCAGTCATGAGAATTACAGAAAATTTTCAACACATAGTTTGGTCTAAGAGGATTCAACACCTTTGTTTTATTGTTCAGTGTGTAATGACTAGAGATTTGTAAATCTTTGTGAACATTCTGTACTGGTTCCCAAGAGCTCTTCATTCCCTGCTACCTGATTTCAGCACAATAAATACACTTCTGCTGTGGAAAATGATTTTTTTTGTTAATCAGTTTATTACAATGTAAACTGCTAGATGTTTATTTGATTTAGTTAATTCTAAATTGCTTTCTGCTGCTAATTTCTTATGTAGAAAAGAAATCAAACTAGAACTTGGGTATTTACAATTGCTGGTAAAAAGCTTACTTTCTATAGTAGCATATTTTTACTTTCAAAATTAGTTGCTTTTGGAAGAGCTTTTGCATTCAGACATAAAACATACCATTTTTTTTTCTAAATTATTCTTCCGTAAAGGGGTATGTTCTTGATTCTTCAATTTAAATCATTCAGTCCTTACTATAAGTTTCTTGATAGAAGATTATTTTAAAATGTCATAAATACAGCCTTTTCCAGAGCTTTCATAATTTCTTCTCTGTTATCACAGATACGTTGCATGCCTTATATCTAAAAACTGGTGAATAAAGAGTATGTCTCCTATTTGGTAAAACTTTGTCACTAAAGTAACATTTTCTTATATAGAAGACAAGGAATTTGTTAAATACTTGCAATAACTAGAAATACCTGAGACATGAGTTTTCCTCTCTAATAGATGACTGTAGCTCTTTCTTTTGTTACTTTTTCCTTTTTTTGGTAGAAATGGGATTTTACTATGTTGCCCAGGCTGGTCTTGAACTCCTTGCCTTAAGCAATCCTCCAGCCTCGGCCTCCTAAGTCTGTTACTCTTGACTGCTTTGCTGATGGAAGCTGATGACTAGTTTTAGTTTTGATATTATTAATTCATTCTCTCTTTTTCTCTCTTTTGTTATGCATGCTCTTAGGGTATTCAAAAATATTTTAGCATCGATTATTATGTTTTTACTTTAGAGCATGGAATCTAGCAGTGTTTTTAGTTTATTAAGAATATTTTAATTTATAGGCTTGTTTCATATATGCATCTTAGCTACCCTATAAATAAGAAGGAGAAATCAGAGGTATAAGTGATTTTTGTTGTGTTATCTATTTGACAAAACAAGTCAGATGCTATATATTGACTATTGGAGCAGAACTTTTGAATCTCTCTCACCTTCAGAATGAGACACCACACTGAGGAGTTCACACTGTCTCAGCTGTTTCCTTGTTATAGCCATAATCTCAGCTGTACTCATAATACCATTCTTACTAAGAAAAAAACAGCTACAGCTATCCAGGATGTATGCTGGCTGGCCTGCTCAGCATGGACCTGGGTGGCAGATTTCAGCATCCTGCTGGATGGTTAATAGGGCAGCAGAGGTGAGAGACACTGTGATACTGAGCTGTGTACACAGGCACACAGCATCTGAGCAGTAATCATAAAATCTGCTGAAGAAAATCTGTCACCTGCTACTCAGCGTGCAAGTAATTTTGGCAAGTGACCTTAGAAAGCAAGTCCTTATTAGTGGTGTAATTTAGAATCCATGCTTTAGTCTTTGGTATTTTAGGCAGATAATTTCTGAATGACAAGAATATTTGTGAAAAGAAAGAGAAGTAGAAATGGATTCTTTTTTTGTAGTATTCTTTTTGCACCAACCTAATATTTTTGTTGCAAAATACTATAAATCATACAAGTATTAGAAGTTAGTTTTCTTATAAATTGCAGAGGGGAAGGCATGGCTGTGAATTGAAAGGCACAGCTCCTTTTGAATTTGTTTTCATAGGAGGCTGTGAATCCTGAAGGAGAATCCTGAAGTACACACTGAAACACATCATTTAATATCTATCTAATTATAATGCAGCTATCAGAAGGTCACACTGCACTTGCACATCTGTACAGAATATGTCCAAATGAGAATATCTATACAGGATATGTCCAAATGAGAAGCCATACTAAATACAAAAGAAAATCTTGAAAGATTTAAATACTATGGCTATTTCTAAAAACAGGATCTTGAAATTATTATTTCTCAATTTAAATACAATATTGAGTTATAAAGAATAAATATTTCATCAGTCCACATACATATTCCGTGTCCTCTGTCAGTCTTTAGGTATTCCTGAATCCCTTTTCTGCAATTTTAGAGAAGCCAGTCAAATTGCTCCATTTCTCAGCTGAATTGTATTTTCTTTGAATTTGTCATGGGGGAAAAAGGAAAGCATCCAGTTGAAATCCCTTCTTTGTCACTCATGATGCATTACATTTCAACTGAGTTTCTCCTCCCTGTGAGGAAGCTGTTTTAAGAACCAGTCTTTCAAGAATAATGATTAGCTAGCTGCTTGGTAATTAGAGGGTGGAGAGATTATGAGTTTCGTATGATAGATAGCATTATGTTCACAACAGTCTCACCTCACCTTTGAGTGTGGCTTGTTTTCTAATTAATAAAATGGGATCAAATACATTTATAATTTTTATAAGCATATTATATAGTTAGAGTTTATCAGTTGTACCTAATACAGTTGGGTTTCCAATATACTCTGATTTCAGATCTCAGTGAAAATTTAATAAAGACATCACAAAAGAAAAACTGCTCTTCAAAGCTATATTCAACATTTGTTTTTGTTATGCTTGAATTATTACTGCCAGCCCTCATAAAGTGGTATCTAATCTTTCCTCCAGAAATAAAAGTAGCAGGGGACCTCATGAGGAAAAAGAGCAGTCAGATGAATTTGGGTAACAAATTTCTAATTTATCATTAAGGTTGAGATTTGGAGTTTACATCTTCAAGTCTACCCTAAATATTAACTACTTCACATTATCAAGCATCATCTTTGGTTCATGTACTAGATGTTTTTGAGCACTATGAATCCATTCCTTTCCCCTTTGTATGTTCTTTCTCACCTCCTTTAGTATTACAGAGTCTGGGAAACCAAAAATCACATTTCTCAGATTCCCATGTGATCCCCTCATAAATTTAGGTTTTGTCAATGTGAGGCACTCGTGAAATTTTCTGTAGTAGAACAATTATATAAATGGGCTCCTACAGACAAAAGTGTTGGAAACAATTGGATAACACATTCCATTATCTTGGCATCAATTTTATGAATACAGACAGTGCTAATGGTGATGGCACTTATGACAGATGAGGTTGTGTGAATTTGAAGCTAAAGACTGAGGATAGCCTCCTCACTTTTATTCCTCCAAGTTACCAATAACTTTATAAGCACCTCATCTTTTGAACTAAAGATTTTCTGCTTGAAACACCTTGAGTGTTATCTATTTCATGTGATGAACCTTACCTAGCTCAGCAGTCAGCATCAAAATTTAATCAAGAAATCAACTTTTAAATATAATACAAGATTGGTTATCTGTTGAGTTTATAGGCAGTAATAACTTCATGACCACCGGGAAATAGGATACTGTTTTCCATGAAGCAAATAGCTAAATTAACACCTATGGCCACATAGGATGGAAGAGCTATTGAAGACAGTCCTTTGATAGACCAGCTGCTCCACTGCACTATTGTAGTGCCAATAAGAAATAGAGAAAACTTGAGTGGCAGCGTTGCTTCCTATTGTACTGCAGAGCTTATAGAAAAAGGGTTCACTCCTATTTTAAATTCTTGGCTCAGGGCAAGGAAAAAATTGCAGACAGCTTCTATGACCCTTTTAAGAGACCCTTTTATATATCATAACTGCAGACTTGAAATGCTTTAAAACAAAATTCAAAGTTTGCACCTTTGGGTTGCAGAATTACAACTTGAGTTCACAGCCTCAGTGGTTTCCTATGTGAAATTTGTGGCATTGATCATGACAGGATGGGACCTAAAGGAACAGAATGGGGATATTTGGGTAGATTTGGATGAACCTGAGAACATGAATTTTTAAATTGCTTTGAATATGCCTGTTCATAAAAGCAGTCTCTCCTCCCTGTCAGATGACATTAGTCCTTTGTTGCTTGAGATTCCATAATGACCTCAACCAAGGTAGTTACCTTCCAAAGGAATGCTGATCCTCTTTATGCCTGCCTTCTCCCCTTTCAGTGCCATCAGATCTGCAAAGACAATTAGATCACAGCATGCCCCAGGGGAACAAATACAAAATCTATCCTGGGAGGAGGCAGTTAGAATGATAGAATTTGGCTAATTTTCATCTGCACATATGTATAGGAATAGATTCTCAGTGTTAAGGCAGGCAGAAACGTATCTTTAGAATAAACTGAAATTATTGATATAGTTCTTATATCTAACCAAAAATTCTTATTTTGAGGCCATAGCTCAACAGTGAGGAGCAGCTTTACTGGTGTTTCAGTTTTTCAGCTAAAATAGGGACTCAGTACCAGCCTATATTAAACTCAGATATATGTTAGAAATTCTTTGGAATAACGTGGAGGAGAGACTCTAGAGACTTAATGGAGTTAGGAATGTTGAGATCTACCATGTGTGACCCACCTGACTACCTCCTCTCTATGTTTGAGAAATCTGTTGGTAAGGTCCACAAGCATCCTTGGAAAATTCTGTAGTGGTTACTTTCTATAGATTGGGATGATGACAGAGGGAGGAAGATTCCCTAAAATGAGTTCCTTAATTTAAATTTCAGTGGGAATTAGAGTATTAGATTGGCAGACGCCAAATGGCAATATTTAAATGCCAGAGATGAAATGGACGTGATTGTAGTCCATTCAACTCTGTTATAGTGTTATAGTCCATAACAACTCTGGCAAAAGAGCCAGAGTTGTTAGAATGGCTTGGCCTGTGGGTGTCTATGGTGGTGGCCAATTTATGATGATGTCCTAAGCACTGAAACAGATGGACTAAGGTCCTTCTTGATTAGTATGACAGACTAAATCTGGTAAACACTGGCCTGACTTGAGTAATTACAATGAGAGACACAGCCCCTCACCAATTCCCATCATTGGTCCAGTACACAGACCTAGAGCTTTTTAAATTGAGGGAATATTGGTTTCCCTTGAAATATTCTGTGATGATTTTATAGGATATACTATAAATCCTCTTTCCTGCTTTCATCAAAAGGGAAGGAAATTAAACACTTTTTGAGAGGATTACTCGGACACTGACTCTGAGCTGATGCTGCTCATTGAGCACCCAAATTGCTACTGTGCTCACCAGTCAAAATGGGGGAGTCTAGAGGCCTGGTGATCTGAGTTCATCTCACAGTGACTCAGTGGGTCCTCAAACATACCCTTCCCAGTTCCTGCATGTATAGTTGGATTAGACATACTCAACTCTGGTTGAACTCCCACATTGGCTCCCTATCTCATGGAATGAAGGCCATTATGGTATGAAGGACCAAGCTGAAGCTCCTAGAATGTCCCTTCTTATTGAAACAATAGACCAAAAGTAGTGCCATATTTCTGGGTGAATGTCAGAGGCTCATGTCACCATCCAAGGTCTGAAAAATTCAGGGGTGATGATTTTATGTCATACCCCCATTTAACACTCCTGTTTGACCCAAGCAGAAATGGTGGAGTCTTGGGGAGACTACTATTATTAACCATGTAACTCCAAATTCAATGGCTGTTTCAGATGTAGTTAGCTAACTGAAGCAAATAAAATGCTGGCAGCTGACATGCTGCTATGAATCTGCTAAAAGTATTTTTCTCCCTTCCAACAAAGAGATAACAGAAGTCATTTCACCTTGTAAAGTAAGCTGTACATCTTTGCTATCCTTTTTTTAATTTTAATTTTTTTTTTTTTTTGAGACGGAGTTTCACTCTTGTTACCCAGGCTAGAGTGCAATGGCGCGATCTCGGCTCACCGCAACCTCCGCCTCCTGGGTTCAGGCAATTCTCCTGCCTCAGCCTCCTCAGTAGCTGGGATTACAGGCACGCACCACCATGCCCAGCTACTTTTTTGTATTTTTAGTAGAGACGGGGTTTCACCATGTTGACCAGGATGGTCTCAATCTCTTGACCTCGTGATACACCCGCCTCGGCCTCCCAAAGTGCTGGGATTACAGGCTTGAGCCACCGCGCCCGGCCTTTAATTTTAATTTTAATGCCTCCGAAGGACTTAATGTCTTTGCTATCTTACCTCAGCTCTCCAGTTTTCTGTAATAATCTAGTCCATAGGAACCTTGTCTGTCTCATCACACCATAGGATATCACTTTGTTCCACTACAATGGTTAGCGACATGCTGACTGGCTGTGATAAGTAGGAAGTGGCAACCACCATAGATTCCTTGGTAAGGAACATATGTGCCAGAAAGTGGGAGGAAAAAACAAATTATGTAAATTCAAAGGCCATGACATCAATAAAATTTATGGGAGTCGAGTAGTTTATAGCAAGTTGAGATATTTCCTCCTCCATATACAAAGGTGTATATATGTTGTTTCAAAAATCCCGTGAGATGGTAATAATCATTTTATCTCTTTAATAGTGGGTAAAAGAAAATTGCTATGAAAATTTCCCACTATTAAAAAGACCCAATGATTGTTACCATCTCACAGGACTTTTGAAACAACAAACACACCTTTAAATGTGCTACTTTGACCCATTTATCAAGTAATCCATAAAATTGCTGGTTCTCAATGGGGTCCAGAGCAAGAAAATGATTTGTAACTGTGAACTGTTGTGCATGCTGCTCTGATATTTGAGATTTGAGATCCAACAGATTAAATGGTGCTTGGAGTGTTTGGCAGAAAGCAATCCCATAGGAGGCCCCTGGCAAACCTTGATTTAGAATTACAGCACAATCCTTTCAGGTTTTAGAACAAAGCCATTACCTAGTCTCCAAATAACTATTAAGAAATAGATCTTGTATTGCTTTTAGGCCATGGCAGAGATTTGTGTATCTGACCACAGAATATAAAATGGTCATGAAAACAGCTACCCATCACAGTCTAGGTATTCTGTCATAAACTAGGATATGCACAGCAGCACTCCTTCATCAAGTAGAAAGTCATGAAGGCACAGGTAAGAGGCATGAGCAACACCTCAGGTGACCATTGCACCTGCTCTTGCTGCATTGCCATTTCTCCCTCAGCCCACACGTTTGACCATATGAAAGTTCCTGTGAAATGTTAGCTGACTGTGTTTGCACACCTCTGATACATTTTGCTCTGTTTTGTGCCCTGAAATGCTGAACCATATGGGCTACATCATCTTGGCTCCCTTGTCAGCCGTCTTCCAGTTGGATTCAATGAATAGTAAGTGCCAATGGAAGATCAAAAGTTTCCAGAGTGTGTAGGACACTTCCACGCTCTTTTCCTACTTTAGTGTTGCATCTCTGACCCTACATACCTTTCTCCACAACCGCAGTCCCTGCTGGGAAGCTGCTTCTCTGTTGATCTAATTCTCACCAAGCTCTGTTTCTTTCCTTGTTCCTCCAGAGAATAATAACAGCATCACACTCATGCTAGTTTTCTTGCACCTCCCCATCCCTTGTTTGTTTCTTTTTCCCTGGCTACATCTCTACGTGTAATCCCTTCATTAAAGTCTCTTTATTTAAACTATCTGGGACAAAGTCTAATTTATGAGGGGACCCTTGTTGAGAAGCTGTAAAAGAAAGTAATTGACGTGGTTTACAAATTATTCCACAGAATATGCAAACAATAGCTAGAAATGAACTGTGGCAGTGTTACAGCTTAAATGTGTGTGGAAGGAAAATCCAGCTAATGAAAGAACTTTGGGCAGTACATCTGATTGCTCCCTTTTCCTAGAAGGAAAACTTCCCAGGGTCATGCATTTATATCAGATTTTCGGTAATGGATAATGATTTGGCTAGATGCTCAAGGATTTGGAAGGAATAAAATTGAGGATTGGTGACAAGGGGTTCTGAGTATGACTTTTTTGTGTTCCATGTAAATGCTCACCAAAGGCACCTACTGCAGAAGAGGCAGTTAATAAACAGAGAGACAGGATAATCTGTTCTATGGATATTAGTCAGCCTCCTTCCTTAGTTTTCCTAACCACCCCATGTTTGCTTACTGGGTTTATAAACAAAATGGACAAAAGTACAGTGTAGTGTGCTTCATGGTAGCTCTGGGACTTATAAATGTCACCCTATTTGAAAAGGGGTTCTTTGTAGATGTGATTAAGTTTAGGCTCTTAAGATGAGATGATAACTCTGGGTTCTCTGGGTGGGCCACAGATGCCATTACAAGTGTTCTTATGAGACAGAAATGCTACACCTGCAAAGAGGAGATGGTGATGTGATGATACAGGCAGAGACTGGGGTGATGACGCTGGGAATGCTGGCAGCCACCAGAAGCTGGAAGAGGCAAGGAGTGGATTCTCTTCTAGACCCTTCAAGGGGAGCACAGCCCAGCCAACACCTTCATTTTGGACTTCTGGTTTCCAGAACTGTAAGAGAATAAATTTCTATTGTTTTAAGCCACTAATTTTGTGGTAATTTGTTATGGCAGCCACAGGAAAATAACCCAAATATTATTTACATTATTTACAAGAGAGAGGTTTACATGGGCTCAAATGGTATGGACTTCTCAGCACGGCTGGTCTGGCTAGCACCACTGCTGAGTGCCCACCTGCCCACAGCAGAGTCCAGTGTTGACCTTGTTATATGGACTTGGAATAGCCAGCCACTTCGCTCCCATTAGGAAAAGGGATCAACTCATTCTTACTAGAATGACACTTATTCTGGAATGAATTTACCAGCAATACAATCCATTTGTAAATTTATTGAATGTGTTATCCATCACCAAGGTATGCCACAGAACATTGCATCATATGCAAAAAAAATGTGTAATAAAATAAATAAGGCAATGGTCTCACATATATGGAATTTAGTTCTCTTTCCATGTATTAGGGTTGGATAATTACTATAACAACCCCAATTATAGTAATTATAATTACTATAATTACTATAACAAGGGCCAGGCGCGGTGGCTCACGCCTGTAATCCCAGCACTTTGGGAGGTCGAGGCGGGTGGATCCCGAAGTCAAGAGATCGAGACCATCCTGGTCAACATGGTGAAACCCTGTCTCTACTAAAAATACAAAAAATTAGCTGGGCATAGTGGCACGTGCCTGTAATCCCAGCTACTGAGGAGGCTGAGGTAGGAGAATTGCCTGAACCCAGTAGGCAGAGGTTGTGGTGAGCCGAGATCGTGCCATTGCACTCCAGCCTGGGTAACAAGAGCGAAACTCCATCTCAAAAAACAAAAAACAAAACAAAAAAAAAATTAACAGGCTTAATATAATATGATGGAACACATAGATAATTTTTTAAAATTCTATTTCCATTTTCACGGTGCAGTAGAGGTCAGTAGGGCAGAGTGAAAGGCTCTGCCCACAGTCATTCAGAGATCCCAGGGCTCCCTCCCTCAATTGGTCTTCTGCATTTGGCTGAGGAGGTGGACTTACAGAAGGGTTTCTCAGAGAATTTCATGGAGGCAGTAGGCCATCAATGACCCAGATTTGGAGACAATTATCATCAAATTTAACCCATACTCTATTGACAGTAACTCATTCAGATCATTCCATTTAAGAGCAAAGGATGCTGAGAAATGTAATCTAAGTTTGTCTCTGAAGCATGTGGCCTTGAAGTCAGTGAAATGTCTTATTAAATTACGTTATGAGCCTAGCTTGCAGACAACAGTTTGAGAGCCAATGATACTTCCCTTCAAGATACTGTGCTCTTAAACCAGCCACCAATGTATGATGCTCTCTCTCCTCAGGCCAGGATACTTGATCTGGGAACCAAGGGATAGATTAGAAAGCAGATTCTTAGACTATTAATACTATACCTACATGCAATAGTTTTTTGTTTTTATCCTTATTACTTTTTGCTGTGCCTGTTTAGAGATTTTTAGTACCCAGAGAAAGAAAGTTTCTACTGGGAGATACAATAATGGTTTCATTTAAAGTCAAAATGGCCACCTAGAATTTAGGGATTCTTTTGCCATTCAACAAAGAAGAGTACTACATCTGCTGTGGTGATTCCTGGGGTAAAAAAGAGGTCTATATCTGAACTAGATCCTCTTTGGTGCTTCCAAGTATTTACATGGCCAGTGATAAAATTTCATGGATGCCTTTAGTAATCCCAAAGAGACAGTATTTCCAAGGCCTTGAATCATTCAGCAAGGAAGGTTGGGGCTTCTCTACCACGTAAAGAATCCTCTCCAGTTTAAATAATGACTGAGGCAGAAGACAACTGGAATAAGCACTGGAAAATTAGGTTAACCATATTATTTGTGATTTTGTGACCAGTTGCAAGAACAATATCTGAGATAGTTTTGCATATTTTTCCCTGCTTTGTGTTTATATTTGCGTATATTAACCCCAAATCTTTCCTCTCTCTGTTCCTTTCTATTTGATATAAGGCATATTATTGATGGTAAAATGTATAGTAGTTTAGCCCTAAGTTTAAAAGATATCAAGGTGGAATTACAACTGAACTAGAGGAGAAATGAACAATATCACTAGATGGATACAATGAACAGACTTTGGATCTTCTCTTTTAGGAGAGCGTGATCATGTTTTTGTTTATAAAAGGTTCTGTTGTATTACGCAAGATTGGAGCATGTTGGTTTTGCTCTGGTTTTTCTTTGGAAGATAAACATAGGCAGAAGATTGTAGATGTTGAGTAGCAGCACAGCAGACTGTGTTCAATATTGTTCAATCCACTTGACATGCATTCCCACTCATTTCTTATAACCTCCCACATATCACCTATTGCAAAGTCTAGAGAGCTAAATATATATTTCCAACCTTCCTTGAAGCTACAGGCTTGGATCTGGTTTATATTCTACCAATGAAATGTACTGGAGTGAGTGGATTTTTTGGAAGGATAAGATAATTCAAATAGCTCAGACAGACTTAACTCTCCGAATAGCTGGATCCCACATTTCATCATTTATCATCAGCTTCATTAGCATGAAGAAGATGTGATGTTATCAGTGATGGTAGCAATGGCAGATGCAGTTTTCTGACCTCTGGACTTTTAAAAAATGTTAAAGAAATGTTTCTCAATGTTGGGTGAGTGCCAAATAATTGACCTAATTTGGGCATCCACAGATCTTAGCACAGGCCTGATTCCTACACCTCTCCTGTCTTATTTTGGGGGTTTCTTAAGAGCTGATGACAGGTTTTAAATACATGCAGTTTACTTGAGCGTTGCTTCTAGATATCTGCAGTGAACGTGTAAGGGAGTAAGAGAGGGAAAGAGGGAATGCCAATAAAGGATATATTCTAGGCCGGTTACCACTGTGAGCCACTGAAATACATCTACTACGAACCCTCTGGGAAACCATAGAAGAGACCACGTGGAATCTTGTATCTGCAGGATGAGAGAGATTGGGCATCTATCTACAGATTTCTATCTCTCATTGGTTACTCAGGAACACTATCTGTACCCTCCCCATGACTTCTGCAATATGCCTATTCTTAGGCTAAGTAACTCTGAGATAAACAAAAAGAAAAGCAGTAAAAATGAGCTTGAGATGGGACACTCACCACCAGTGATCATGGAACTATCCATTACAGCATTGAAATGAGCAGCAAGCTGAGGGAATGCGGTTTTGAGCACCAAACACTTATAGAACTGATTTGACTCTCAAGAACTACTTCCACCTTGGAAAAAAAAAAAAAAAAAAAAAAAGATTACGCTTACTCTCTGGCTTGTAGTGTAATCGATAGTGTATACAGCTGTTTGTAATATTCTCTAGACACCAAATTCATTGTGTAGTCTACAGAGTCATCCAGGTGCTATTTATTATTAGCTGATGCCCTAGTTCTCAACATAGAAGAGATCTTTCTTTTTTTCAATGACAATATAAGAAGTAAAGCTTAAGTGCTATAATGCTATAGATTTTGCAGATGAGGGAACTGGGAGTTTGTTCTGTATACAAGCTTTTTAAACTGCCTTTTTTTGACCCAGCTTTTTATTCCAACAGTTCATTTGTCTGGCATATTCTGGGGGGCTGTGGTGGAAAACCTTGTTACTGCCTTCACTACAGCTCTGCATAAAACTTGGTAGCAGTTTCCTCTACTTTGCTGAATGAATTTATAATTTAACTGCCTACTTTCCATCTTGCAAAACATTATTGAAATCTTTTATCTGCTGAGGCCCCTTCATATTTTTCCCATTACTGTAGATTTAGACATTTTTGCTAATCTTTGACTATTTTTTTTATAGAGCCTTGAGAGTGATAGAAAATAGATGAGCTTAGCCTACCATCTTGAGTCAGAAGGCTCTTCAATGTTCCTAAAAAAGAAAATGTTTTTGAAGCCATCTTTAAAATAATGAAGATTCATTCTGAGCTTCGTCACTGATACAACCTTGAACAATTTACTTAATGTTTCTGGGTTTCTTTCTTTAAATGTAAAATGGGAAAAATAATCTCTAATTCAATTAATATATGAAAATTAAATTTAAAAATGCTTGCAAAGTATTTAGCAAAGTGTCTACTTCATGGAATTGCTTAATAAATGTGAATTTCTGTCGCTAGTGACATTTTTTTTTTGGAGACGGGGTTTTTGCTCTTGTTACCCAGGCTAGAGTGCAATGGCGCGATCTCGGCTCACCGCAACCTCCGCCTCCTGGGTTCAGGCAATTCTCCTGCCTCAGCCTCCTCAGTAGCTGGGATTACAGGCACGCGCCACCATGCCCAGCTAATTTTTTGTAGTTTTAGTAGAGACGGGGTTTCACCTGGTTGACCAGGATGGTCTCGATCTCTTGACCTCGTGATCCACCCGCCTCGGCCTCCCAAAGTGCTGGGATTACAAGCGTGAGCCACCGCGCCGGGCCCATAAATGTGAATTTCTTACACTTTTCTTGCCATCCCCTTAAAAGTTCATTTATCCTCAGATATGGTTAAATTGTTTTAATTTCATTTCTTAGTTTATTATGTGGCAGTAATGGGGAAGGTTAGGTGATTTGCAGGATTATTATTCTTTTCACAGTCATAGAAAAGAAAAAGAATAACTGCCCTAGGCTATTTTCTTGTCATAAGTGATCCACAAATTGTTTTTATATTCTTTCCAAAAAGGGTTATATTCCCCTCCACCAAGAAACAAACTATTCATTACTTATTTACTTCAATATCATGATTTTCTTGTTCCTTTCTATTCACAGCTAAAGATTACTTCTAAAATAGCTTTTCTGTAGTTAAAAAATTGCAGACTCTTTCTTGTGAATTGATTGCATTAAGCATTTTTAAGGTAATATAATACATTGTGTATATTTACCACTTAGTAGAGGATTCAATGCCTTGTTAATTTATATAGCCTAGCTAGTTACAGTGATGCTCTGCATTTGGAGCCCCCTTGGAAAATATTTATAACAGCATGCAAACAATAAAATCTCCTTTACAGAGGGAAATATTTCAGTTAATGAGTTATTGAAACATTAATTGTACCTCTGCAATCCTGATATTGTGGATTGTGATTAATATGCTATAATTTGAATTCAGGCAATGAAAATCACATAGAAAATAGCATGATTTCTTAATCAAGGACTGAGGCACTTCAGAGTTTATTTAATAGCAAAACAAATGTAAAGAACTTTCTAAAGTAGCTCAGATTGCTTTATGTTAGGAATTAATTTGCACCTGTTGTAAGACAGTGGTGGGATAGCTCTGGTTAGAATAGCAGGAGAGATAATCAGATTAAGTGCTCATGGTCAGGCACTGTGATAATAATAGAAATTAATGACTTTAAATCCAGAGGGCCCTGCCATGGATCCCTGGATTAAAGAACATTACTAATACCATGCCCATCCCTGTACACATCTACAAATCTCCTACAGTTTGAATACAAGTGCTTGAAAAATCTTTATTATCATCTAAGCAAAATTAAAGAAAAGTTATTGCAGCTGGGAGTGGTGGCTTATGCCTGTAATCCCAGCAGTTTGGGAGGCAGAGGAGGACGGATCATGAGGTCAGGAGTTCGAGACCAGCCTGGCCAATATGGTGAAACCCCATCTCTACCAAAAATGCAAAAATTAGCCGGGCGTGGTGGTGCGTGCCTGTAGTCCCAGCTACTCAGGAAGCTGAGGCAGGAGAATTGCTTGAACCCAGGAGGCGGAGGTTGCATTGAGCAGAAATCGCACCACTACACTCCAGCCTGGGCAACAGAGCAAGACTCTATCTCAAAAAAAAAAAAAAAAAAAAAAAAAAGGTTATTGCATTATTGATCTTGCCACATTTTAAAATTTCATTATAAATCATAATTTTTAAATTAGACTTCATTTTTTAGAGGAGTTTTAGATTCACGGCAAAATTAATCCAAAAATACAAAGAGTCCTAGATACCCACTGCTCTACCACATACATAGCCTACTCCACTATTGACAGCCTGCACCAGAATGGTTCAAGTAGGTACAGTGAACCAATGATCACCCAAAGTTCATAGCTTGCATTAGTGTTCACTCTTGGTATTGTATATATCCTACAGGCTTTGACAAATGTATGATGTGTATCTACTGTTATAGTAGCATATAGAATAGTTTCACTGCCTTAAACATCCTCTATTCTCTGTTTAGTCATCCCTCCCCCCAACCTCTGACAACCACTGACCTTTCTGCTGTCTTCATAGTTACACATTTTCCAGAAGGTCAGATAGTTGGAATCATACACTGTAACCTTTTCAGATTGGCTTCTTTCACTTAGTACTATGCATTTAAGATTTCTCCGTATATTTTTATATATTGATAGCTTATTTCTCTTTATCATTAAATAATACGTCATTGTCTAGATGTACTACAGTTTATCCATTCCCATACTAAAGAACATCTTGGTTTCTTCCAACTTTCTGTATTTATGAATAAAGTTGCTGTAAACATCTGTGTGCTAGTTTTTGCATGGACATGAGATCCCAACTACTGTGGATAAATATCAAAGAATGTGATTGCTGGTAAGAGTATTATTTAGTTTTGTAAGAAACTGACAACTGTCCTCCAAAGTGGCCATGTCATTTTGCATTCCCACCAGTAGTGAATGCAAGTTTTTGTTGCTTCACATCCTTGTCAGCTTTTGGTGTATGTTCTAGATTTGGGCCATTCTAATAAATATATAGTGATAGTGTTTTAATTCACATTTCCCTGATGGCATATGATATGGAACATCTTTTCATTTGTTTATTTGCCATCTCTATCTCCTCTTTGATGAGGTGCCCATTCTGGTCTTTTGTCCATTTTTCAACTGGGTTGTTCATTTTCCTTCCTTTCTTTGTTCCTTAGTTTGTTCCTTCCTTCCTTCCTTCCTTCCTTCCTTCCTTCCTTCCTTCCTTCCTTCCTTCCTTCCTTCCTTCCTTCCTCTCTCTCTTTTTAAAAGAGACTGGGTCTTGCTATGTTGCACAGACTGGACTTGAACTCCTAGGCTCAAGCAGGCAATCCCCCTGATTTAGCCTCCCAAGTAGCTGGCACTATATGTGTAGTCACCATGATTGGCTGAGCTGTTTATTTTCTTATTAAGTTTTAAGAGTTCTTTGTAGGCCAGCTGTGGTGGCAAACATCTGTAATCCCAGTGCTTTGGGAGATCAAGGCAGGTGGATGGCTTGGGCTCAGGAGTTTGAGGCCAGCCTGGGTAGCATGGCAAAATCCTCTCTCTACAAAAAATACAAAAATTAGGCAGGCAGAGTGGTACATGCCTGTGGTCCCACCTACTGAGGACGCTGACATGGGAGGATCACTGGAGCCTGGGAGGTACTGCTCTGTAGCCTGGGTGACAGAGTGGAATCCTGTCTCAAAACAAAAAAGTTCTTTGTGTATTTCAAATAACAGTTCTTTATCAAATATATCCTTTACAAATATTTTCTACCAGCCTCTGGCTTGTCTTATTTTTTTGGTATATTTTTGCATTAAGTAATTTTATTCTTTAGGGCATAAATACTGGACAAAATGTATTCCAAAATTGTTGTGTACTTCCTTGATAGAGATAAATTGTGATTTTATAAATATATTAAGTTCTAGCAATAGTAGTCCTAACAATAGTAGACTATAACTAAGGCAATAGTACTTGCTTTTTGGAAAAATCAATCACAGACATTTAAAGTTAATCACTTATGTTTCTTATGTTTGTCATTTAGACAATTAGTTTCATTTAGACATTGTTGAATGAATCATTTTTATGCCATCAGTGCGTTATAGACCTGACATGGGGAGAGAAAGGAGGAATTCTTTTTTCTTTTTTCTTTTTTTTTTTTGAGACAGAACCTCACCCTATCACCCAGGCTGGAGTGCAGTGGCACCATCTTGGCTCACTGCAATCTCCACCACCTGAGTTCCAGTGATTCTCCTGCCTCAGCCTCCTGAGTATCTGGGATCTGGCTAATTTTTGTATTTTTAGTAGAGATAGGGTTTTACCATGTTGGTCAGGCTGGTTTTGAACTCCTAACCTCAAATGATCCATCCACCTCATTCTCCCAAAGTGCAAGGATTACAGGCATGACCCACCACGCCTGGCCAGGAATTCCTTTTCTAATGAAAAATTGATGTAGCTTAGTTCATCCCGTATTTCATTTTTGTATTTAAAATTCATCTTGGTTTGCCTACTTCTCTATCATAATTGCATGGTCAGGGGACAAGGTTACTGTTTTTTAAATTTTTTTACAAGCATTCATTCTAGTAGTTTT